AAATAGCTATATTAAGATAGTCTTATTCTCAAATATAAAGAAAGAAAAAGAGAGAACCAAAGTTTAGAGCATAAAGGGATTATGATGGCACAACTGCATATAACAAATCAAAGGAAGTTACCTTCTTTTCATCAGAATACCCTCAAAATTCTTGACAGTTTTCCGCTCGAAGGTAAAATTAAAACTAATCCATTTTGCATTAAATGTTATTATTATAAAGCATCACCTTTGCTATTAGAAACTGTTAAATAGAAATTTAAGTTAGCAATCAAAACATCTGTGTATTTTGCAAAGAAAAAAAATCCAAAGAATATCGTCATCACATATTTTTCTACTAACACTTGAATAGACACAAAAACTGAGAGATGGAAAATATAGAGTACAGATGACTTACATTTGGAAGGTTAGACTTTAATTCTCTCTCCCAGGATTGAGGAGTTTTATTCTTTGTGCTTACAATGCTCCTTTCTCCAGGGTATTCTTCTACTTCCAGAATAGATCAGGATAAAGCTTCAACAGACTTCTATTATTTGTTTGATCTAGGGGGAAATTATACTTTTAATCAATTATTACAAAATGCATCGAACTTTTTTTCTTACTGTGCTGGGGTTGGGGGCTTCTCATTATTTTCTGTTGGATCTGAGGTGAACAGAGAAAATAGGAATTACCATTGTTGAATATTATAATAAATAAATCAAGCAGTTTAAATTTACACCACTAAAAGAAACCCACATCTATGTTCTTTTTCATTTTTATGGCTAAGCAGCATAGCAAGAGAAAATTAATATTCAAAATCCAAATGACTACAAAAGCCTACTCAAATGTATTTTTAAAAGACTTTAACATAATTTTGCAAATCCATGAGTTTGAATGGACTGGCAGAGACGATTAGGTATCAAATAGTTTTACTCATTCATTTTAATGTCTTAGGGCTAAAGAATTACAGGATGATTAGAAAAGTGTAAGGGAAAAATCCATTTTAAAAAATTTTAATGGAATAATAAAAAAAGATGATTTCAAGAGCATGAGACAGACCAGAAACAGAGAGCAAAGGGTCCATAGGCAGGGCAAGAAATCTGGAGTAAGAATTTTAAAGATAGTACAAAGGTTGTGAACTGCTATTCAAACAGAGCATGTTGGTCAAATTAAAGTATGTAACATGAGTACATTTTAAATCTGGTTTCACTAATTCTCTAACAAATCTATAAGATGTAAATATGCAACATGTCCTACCTTCACAAGGACACAGAAACGTAATGTATGACTGCCTGACCTTTGGTGATATGAACATTCATAATTTTAAGAGAATTAATTGTATTCTACAAATTTTATCAAATTGTAGTTTTCTAATAATGGATATTTTCTGCCTCATTAAAACGAAATATTAAGATAAATGTCTTCCACTTGTGCCATACCCTGGCACACACTCTCTTGCCTTATCTTAAAGTCATTCATACTGCTTTCCATTAAATAAAAATTAGAATGTAGGGGGTACATTTAAGGAAAATCAGATAAAAATACAGATGTTTGGGGGAAATGTGTCTGCTAGCACTTTAAAGCCAGTTTTTGCACAGAAATTTAAGATACTAATGATTACTATTACAAAAAATAAATAAAGTAGGGTAAGAATATAGTAAACAAATGAAGCCAATCAGTATCTTTATCAGAATAGCGAAATACAAAAGCCAAAATAAATATGGGCAGAAGAATGCCTCTTTAAGCCATCAATCTGATCACAAATTGATACTCATGTGATACCCTTGTTTTTAAACCATTGTAAGGGGTATTTGCAATCATTTACCTAGCATTATTTCAAGGTGAAACAAATACACAATTATTTCAAGGTGAAACGAATACACCTATTTTTCAAAAACTAAAGCTACTGAAGGAGAAAACTCACTCACGACCAGATTTTAGGATTACGGAAATCTGGTGTGTTTTCTTTTAGAAAGATTCAACTAATCTTGATCTAACTTAACAGTCTTCCTACTAAAACTTATCAACATGCACTTTCTGTATGAGTATTTCCATATGGCTTTACAAATACAAGTAGTTCTACTTTAGTTTCTAGAACACAGAAATGGTTTTGCTGTATTTTGGATCAGTGCAGATCAATGTACATCCCTTTAGGGAAGCCTTTTGAACTGACAAAGGGTGAATGATTGACATCAGCAACAAATACTTTTTGTTGTCCTGGACTGGCATGTCATTTAGAGCAGTGCCTATGCTAATTAATGCTGTGCATATCTACCAGATGTGTCAGAGAAATATGCCAGACCCTTCACAGCATATATTTTGAGTGTGGCTAAAATTACATTATAGATATGGAAATGCACCCCTTTGTGATAAAGAACTGATCTCTCTCTCTCTCTCTCTCTCACTATATATACACACACACACACACACACATATATATATACATACACATATACACACACACATACATACATATAAAACACAGACATACATACACACATGTAGAATATACTTTCTATGATAGTGAACCCACTTATATGTATAATTAGCTATACCTTATCGATTCCATTAGTGAAACTTGACAAAAAGAAACTCTACATTGCAATGTTCAAATACACTATAATCTTAACCCTAAAAAATACAGAACATACTGTCCTAAAATACTAGACGAGGTTTTCACAAAGTACAATGTCATCGTGACACTCTACCACATTACACTGAAGTTTTATTCCCAGATTCTCTCAACTACACTGACTACACTGGTGGATTGTTAACAATGGGAACTATGCATTAATCATCTTCATCTCCCGATTCCTTAGGACAGAATTGGGTATATAGTAGGAATTAGGTTTAGTTTTGTTTTGTTTTTTAATAAAGAGCTAGGGTCAGTAACATCATCAAAATTACGTAGAACATTTCTGTTAAGTGAATTCAGTGTACACAAAGAATTAACTATTAATGTTGGCAACTGGAACTCTTAGTCATTAAATCAGATAAATTGATAAAGAACTTGTCTCTAGCACAGAGAGAGCACTCAAAAAACGTGAACTATATAACGACATTCATCGCGGACTGCCTGGGACAGGTGTGGTTTGTACCTACTACAATTAACAGCCATCCCTTTCCTTCTCTAAAGTGTCTGAGTTTGGATGACAAATTTACATATTCATCCAAAGTATCATTAATTTATTATTATTAATTTAAAATATGATTATTTTATCAAGTTATTGTTTCTCTTTTTCTTATTTTCTATGATGCTGTTACATGACAAATATTTTATTAGGATTAGGATGAACAAGATTAAACCTTCTTTTAACATGAATACATTCACACAGAAGCTGAAGGGTTTACTATATCCTCACATCTTTGAAGCTAAATGTTTAATCATCAGTATAGGAATCACTTCCTAGCTGACCAATCCAAATGCAACTTCTGAATTCTTGGTTTACTTAACTTCTCTAATTCATCTAGCTTATTTTTCATTCCTTCTTTCTTAAAACTCTGCCTTTGGCCTGCATGACACCCTTCTTTCTTGATTTCTGTCCCTCTCGGACCCCCTTTTTTCAGTTTCTACTAGTTCCTATTCTCACATGTATTTCCTCAATGTCAGTTTCGCCAAAACTTCATTCTAGTCCTCTTCTTTCCTGAATGTGCACTCTAGTTCTTGCAGAAACTACTTGTTGCAAATGATCCCCAAATATATACATCTCGTCCACACCTCTCTCTGGACCTGCAGGTGTAAAGTTCCTACTGAATATACTGTCTCCTATCTGCGTCCCCTTCCTTCAGTCTTAGCTCCCAGACCAAGGAAGCAGCCAATAGTTGAGGAGGGAGTGAAGTTCTGCGAAAATTCACAGGCAACAGAAAAGAAGGAGGGGAAACCAAATTCACTAGAGTGATAGGATACCTGTTCCTGGTATCTCATTTGTAATCCCAGCATGTTTCACTTACAAAAACAAAAATAAAAACTGTTGCATGCAGTGGTTAGGTTTCAAGGCAAATACTACTAGAAAGAATAATATGATATACATCAAATGCATCATGGGGGTCACAAAATAAAACAACCAAAGATAAAAGTGTAAAGCAGCTCCTAGGTGCAAGATAAAAGAAAGTGTGGGCTACTGTGCTAAAGTCTCTAAAGAAGTGGTTTTAAACCCCCATCAGATTACGCATATGCTACTGCATTCGCTTTGTAGGAATACAGGCTTGTTCCTGCCAAATGTGGGTGAATTTTTAAGAGAAGTTAGAAAAGCATTGTGTGTGTGTGTGTGTGTGTGTGTGTGTCTGTGTGTGTGTGTGTGAGAGAGAGAGACAGAGACAGAGAGACACAGAAGCAGAGAGAAATCTAATTTTTAAGACCTAATAACAAATTTCACATTTAAACAAATAACAATTATCAACAAATAATATTTGCAGGTTCTGTAAGTGACATACACTGCTCCTTTTTTGATCTCAAGGTTAAATTGAAGGGCTAGCCTGTAACCTAAAAGCCACACTTAACATGGTTTCTTAAGGAATGCGTAGCCTGAGTTCTGAACGACCAATTCAAAATCTTTCGGTATACAATCCATTTACATTTCGAAAAATGCTTGCTATTTAATTGTATTGCCTTAAAAATGCAATTTTCCATCTTTTTCGCTCAGCTCTTATCTTCACTTGAATATTCTGGTTCTGACCCTTCTTTAAATTAATTATGGCTTATGTATCTTCAGATTTTATCTCAAACCTTCTCTTGACCCAAGGAACACTCAAGTTTTCTTAAATATATCCAAAAATACACCAGATGTCTCTATAATGCATCTTAAAAACCATCTCTCTTCCACCTCTGCAATCATAGTCTTTTTCTCATTTCTTCAAGGACATTTTCAAATTCATATCCCTCACATCCATCAAATATCTTCAAGTATCTCTCTCATTATTAATCTTTGCAGAATACACCAGACCTAACAAAATTTTCCAAAATGATGTTTTTATAATCTATTAGACTGGCATAGGAGAAGGGATGAAACACATTAATACCTAAATTCAAAACATCTGACTTCATGTCATGCAAGTATTTCCCTGGTGCCTTTTCCTACTAGTACATCCATTAGTGCTATTTAGCAGAAGCAGGGGCTCCTGAATATCTGCCAAATAAACCAAAACTTATCGGGTGTAAACCCAAGGCCCTTCACGTCCGCATCAACACTGCCTGTCCTTCGCTTTGTTCCGCAAGTCTCCTCCACGTTCCCGAATCGAACTGAACACTTCATATTTGGCTTTATCAGTCTTTAAAGTCTCCCTCTGCTCCACCTACAATGTCCCTCTCCTCTCAAATTCCATTTGTTCAAATTGTACCATACCTTTCAATCCTCAATTCAATTACCATCACCTCCATGAGGCACACCCCTATTTTCTTAGCCAGACATAATCGACTCACATAGTATCTTCTCTACAGCTGTCTGTTGAAACCTATTCACCTAAGCTACCATGTAATACATTTGTCGAGATATCTGATATTTCACATTTAATTTAAAACTATGTGAAACCAGACAGTATGTCTTACTCACCTGTGTCTTTCTTA